CGGCCCCCAGGGACCTTCAAGACACTCCTACATAGACGAGGATCCGGAACATTCTGTTCTTTGCCATTAATGTGCGGATTTATGTGCGGCTATCGGCGCCATTCATTATTATAGAACCCAGATACTGTCTTGCAAAAGTAGCAGTGACATCATCAGTGGGCTGTACTCAGCCTGTGCAGAGAGCAGAGCTGTGGGAGGGGCCCAGCTGGTTCCCTCCCACCACAGGAAACTACAGGAGGGGGCGGAGACAAGACCAGTCCCCTGCACTAGGAGAGGGGGCAGCAGTGAGCGGTCTTTATTCCAGGAAGTCTCACCCTGGATGACGGCTCAGATCTGGGAGAAGATTCCGGAAGAAGTCACATGACCGATGGATCTATTATCCCTGAGGTCAGATTTACATTATGAGGGGTTACCACCATCCCTGTGCTGAGGTCCCGAGTCTGTACGCCCCCTGTGCCCATTATGAGGGGTTCCCGCCATCCCTGTGCTGAGTTCCCAGGGTCTGTACACCCGCTGTGCCCATTATGAGGGGTTCCCACCATCTCTGTGCCGAGTTCCCGGGTCTGTACACCCGCTGTGCCCATTATGAGGGGTTCCCACCATCCCTGTGCAGAGTTCCCAGGGTCTGTACACCCGCTGTGCCCATTATGAGGGGTTCCCACCATCCCTGGTAAATGTAACAGGAGGATCTGGGAACACCCGGCACTCCCAGGTGGATGGGCGGACAATTGGAGCATCCAAGACAAGGATCCAGGGGATGACTCCGCCTGCCAGGATTTTTGTTTAACTGAAATATCACATTTGGGTGGAGTGATCCTTTAATACTGGATTGTAAATGATGGCAGCCATGCTAGTTCCGGGTCAGACAGGTTCCTGCTGCTGTGTCCCCGGCTCCTGCACTGACTCCTGGGATGGCCCGGGGTACATCAGGGGTTAATGGTTCCTGCGGCGTTGCACAATCGGCAGTTGGATGAGGCAAGCCGCTCTCTCTCCGTCCCTTCGCCCCTATTTCTCTGTTTGCACAATGGCGTCCTAACGTGTGATTTGCTGCGGCGCGATTTCTAAAGTCGTTCTGGCGTGACTATTTCTGCAGTTTTGTGGCGATTTCACATCCATAGAATAGAATAGAATGGAAATCGCTCCGCAAATCGCAAGAAAGTCTCCAGAAATCGCACTGAAATCGCGGGATTGTAGATCGCATCAACCAGAGACTTGGACCCGATTCACACTGTCGCAGCTCCTGCAGTTCTGTGCGCTGCGATTTCAGATCATCATTTTGTCCAAATCCGCACAAGAAAGGTGTCGCTCTGGGATCGGGTCGCACTGGAATCGGGTCGCACTGGAATCGGGTCACACTGGAATCGGGTCGCTCTGGAATCGGGTCGCACTGGAATCGGGTCGCACTGGAATTGGGTCGCCCTGGAATCGGGTCGCACTGGAATCGGGTCGCACTGGGATCGGGTCGCTCTGGAATCGGGTCGCACTGGAATCGGGTCGCACTGGAATCGGGTCGCACTGGAATCGGGTCGCCCTGGAATCGGGTCGCACTGGAATCGGGTCGCAATGGAATCGGGTCACTCTGGAATCGGGTCGCACTGGAATCGGGTCGCACTGGAATCGGGTCGCCCTGGAATCGGGTCGCACTGGAATCGGGTCGCACTGGAATCGGGTCGCCCTGGAATCGGGTCGCACTGGAATCGGGTCGCTCTGGAATCGGGTCACCCTGGAATCGGGTCGCACTGGAATCGGGTCGCACTGGAATCGGGTCGCTCTGGAATCGGGTCGCACTGGAATCGGGTCGCTCTGGAATCGGGTCGCACTGGAATCGGGTCGCCCTGGAATCGGGTCGCACTGGAATCGGGTCGCCCTGGAATCGGGTCGCCCTGGAATCGGGTCGCCCTGGAATCGGGTCGCACTGGAATCGGGTCGCCCTGGAATCGGGTCGCTCTGGAATCGGGTCACCCTGGAATCGGGTCGCACTGGAATCGGGTCGCTCTGGAATCGGGTCGCACTGGAATCGGGTCGCACTGGAATCGGGTCGCTCTGGAATCGGGTCGCACTGGAATCGGGTCGCCCTGGAATCGGTCGCACTGGAATCGGGTCACCTGGGTGTGAACATTCAGGCAAACGCACTGCCTGCTGCGACCTGCATCTAAGCTGCATCTAAGGTGTCTCTGGACACACTCTAAAGGAGAGCTCCGCTCAGATCTGCGATGTATATACGGCTCATCCTGAACTCCCCAATATCTGAAACAATCGATGGGTGTCATACAATGCAGAGGGGGGGCCGGGGGGGGGGCAGGGGGGGGAGGGCCAGGGGGGGGGGACTTGTATTATCAGGAATCCTTTGTACAGCCGGGGACAGCTAGGATCAACCAACCGGCCTCTGCTGTGCTGCATGGATGGAAGGGCCTGCTGTTCTGTAGACCACCCAACCCCCCCCACCTGCAGACCGTACCACCAACCAGCCCCCCACCTGCAGACCGTACCACCAACCAGCCCCCCACCTGCAGACCGTACCACCAACCAGCCCCCCACCTGCAGACCGTACCACCAACCAGCCCCCCACCTGCAGACCGTACCACCAACCAGCCCCCCACCTGCAGACCCTGCCACCAACCAGCCCCCCCCCCCCCCCGCCTGCAGACCGTACCACCAACCAGCCCTCCACCTGCAGACCGTACCACCAACCAGCCCCCGCCTGCAGACCGTACCACCAACCAGCCCCCCACCTGCAGACCGTACCACCAACCAGCCCCCCACCTGCAGACCCTGCCACCAACCAGCCCCCCCCCCCGCCTGCAGACCGTACCACCAACCAGCCCCCCACCTGCAGACCGTACCACCAACCAGCCCCCCACCTGCAGACCATACCCAACCAACCAGCCCCCCACCTGCAGACCGTACCACCAACCAGCCCCCCACCTGCAGACCCTGCCACCAACCAGCCCCCCACCTGCAGACCCTGCCACCAACCAGCCCCCTCCCCGCCTGCAGACCGTACCACCAACCAGCCCTCCCACCTGCAGACCGTACCACCAACCAGCCCTCCCACCTGCAGACCGTACCACCAACCAGCCCCCCCGCCTGCAGACTGTACCACCAACCAGCACCCTTCCTGTAGACCGTGCCACCAACCAGCACCCTTCCTGCAGACCGTGCCACCAACCAGCACCCTTCCTGCAGACCGTGCCACCAACCAGCCCCCCACCTGCAGACCGTACCACCAACCAGCCCCCCACCTGCAGACCGTGCCACCAACCAGCCCCCCACCTGCAGACCATACCACCAACCAGCCCCCCACCTGCAGACCGTGCCACCAACCAGCACCCTTCCTGTAGATCATGTTAACACCCAGTCTGTAGATTGTGGCACCACCACATATTTATACCTGAAGACCGTACCAGCACCCAGCCTGCAGAAAGTGCCGCCATCATCCTACAGACTGTGCCACGGCCCAGCCCCCAGCCCACAGACTGTGCCACTGCCACACCTTCATGCCTGTAGACTATGCTGGGCAGCTTCTTCCTGCAGGTTGGGCCACTGTCCTTCAGGAACCCACCACACATCACCGCATGGTGGGCACCCAGAGCTCTCCCCCTGACAGCCTAATTTCAACTTTCATCATATTTCAGTCATCCCACCAACCAAGCTGCGATCTGGGGGGTCATACGGGATACGTGGCATGCTATGTATGAATCAGCCTGGATGTGACCCCCCCGGGGGACGGCTGACGTCTCATTCTGGAACTTGTGGTGCCCGGGGACACGGCCGGCCTACATTCTTGCTGCTCATTCGGCACATGTGGTTTGTTTTCTCCGGCTTTACATTAAACAAGCAGGAAGCAGCATTGCAGACATCCTCCATCCGCTCTTCCTTATAAGGACATTTCTAGACCCGCCAGTGTCAGGGGGGGGGGGGGCCCCGGAGGGCCCTGAGGACAGACAACCGGACAATGGGCTCGGCAGGGGAGCTCACACTCATTCACCCTCAACCTCTTTACACAGAAAATGTTGCCACTCCAGATGGATTTGCATGGAGTGTGTTTGTATGAATGATGTGGATTTCCTATACTGACAGCAGCCAGCCAATACTAGCCAGGCAACACTGGGAGCATGCTGACAGATCTCCTGATTGATTATATATACAGTATATGGAATCACCTCTGGGTGGTACTACGCCCTGCGCCATTCTGGGCCACAAGGGGCGGAGCTGGGAACCCGGGAACACTGCCTGGTCTTCATTGGCTTCATTGCAGATATTGATTACAAATGATAATGGACTGGATGGGAAATGTAGCCCCCCCCCCTCCCCCACCAACCATACAGGGTGATTGACAATCCACGGGTGCAGGGAGACCTTCATGAACATTAGGATCAATGATAGGAATGGCCAATCCTCACTGCCCAGGTCATCGCTCGGCCATACCACCATCCAATCAGCACTCAGGAGACCACAGAGCCCATCCAATGGTGGATCATACAATGGTCGCCCTCCAGGTCTCTGAGCCATAGAAGTAGATGAGGGTGACAACATTTATTGGGGTGTCAGGCACTGAACAGGGTATTACCACCCCCCATGACACGTAATAGTGCTGATCTGTTGTACAGCAGGTCTGACAAAAATGAAACACGGGGCCAAACTGAGTAGAATTAACCTTTGGGGGGGGCCCTTTTGGGGGTGGCCCCCACGCCTACCCAATTCTGACACTTATCGCTGATTGGGCGGGCTCTTGGGAGGAGTTATGCAAATATCAAAATGCCTTGATAAGTGGGTGTCAGTCTGGAGGAGTGGGCGTTCCTAGGCAGGTTGTATTTGCATACGCAACGCCCACATGTGATGCTGATCCTCCAAAATTGACAGAACTGAAATCCAATGAATGAAAGGGGCGGGGCCAGGGACAGACTGGGGAGGAAAGCGCTAGATGATGCTGGACATCATCCAGCCAGGAAATGAGGCGGAGCTTTATCTGATTGGCTGCAGCTTCTAATGCACATTAGAGGGGAGGAGCCGGTACACCTGTGCAAGACTGAAGGGGAGGAGCCGATACACCTGTGCAAGACTGAAGAGGAGGAGCCAGTACACCTGTGCAAGACTGAAGGGGAGGAGCCGGTACACCTGTGCAAGACTGAAGGGGAGGAGCCGGTACACCTGTGCAAGACTGAAGGGGAGGAGCCAGTACACCTGTGCAAGACTGAAGAGGAGGAGCCAGTACACCTGTGCAAGACTGAAGGGGAGGAGCCGGTACACCTGTGCAAGACTGAAGGGGAGGAGCCTGTACACCTGTGCAAGCCTGAAGGGGAGGAGCATGTACACCTGTGCAAGCCTGAAGGGGAGGAGCCAAAACACCTGTGCAAGACTGAAGGGGAGGAGCCGGTACACCTGTGCAAGACTGGAGGGGAGGAGCCGGTACACCTGTGCAAGACTGAAGGGGAGGATTAAACCCACAGAATGCTCTCCATCCTCGGCTCTGGGTGGAATCTGTCCTCATCACAGTGGAGATCCCCGGGAGAGGGGGGGCTCTCTGCACAGAGAACAAACACAGACAATGGAGATCACCTACAGAATTCCATTCCCATGAACTCTCTCTCTGTTCCAGGTACGTCTCTCCCGATGTTCTCCACTGACTGCGTCCGCCATGCAGCGCTGCAACACTAAGCCCAAGCATGGCCCCCGCAGTGCCCGCAGCCCCTGCAGCGCCAGGATAGACAGGACAATCCCAGGCCATGTCCAGCTCTGCACTGGCAGCGCTCCCATCGCTGCGGATGAGTGACTGCGAATCTTTCCTGTGGTTGGACTCACACCCAAAACTTCCTGAGACGAACGCACGGCGCCTCTTCTATGGGGGAGGGGAATATCTTGTACTGTAATATCTTTATGTGAGTTCAATTGTCACTTTTAGTGTCATTAACAATCATCTCTGGTGATCCCGCTATGGGGGTCTCTTCGCAGACACTTCCTGTTATAGGGTGACAACGCTCTGCCCCCCTCTCCTAACTGGGCCCCTGTGTTGTCACCCTGATGGAGATTTCAGCACACATTACAGAAGTACGGATCACTGTTGTCACCATCAGAAATCCCACCTGAGAAATGCCAGGCAGCCACTGCTGGAGTGAAAGGAGACACGAAATGGCTGCAAAAAGGCTGCAGGAGATAAGCAGCCAATGAGATGCATCAAAGGGAAAAAAATTGTTTATGAATGCAGCTCTGTAATCACGGATCCATCCCGGGTTCACACTGATGCGGTGCGGAAATTGTAGCGTTTTCTGTGCGTCGCATCGTAATCGCACCTCTTTCATGCGAACCGCTGCGGGTGTGTATGGCAAGTTAACATCTGAAATAGGTTTGCAAAACGCGGTGCGATGGGCAGAATCGGATCTCGTAGGTGTGAATACCGTGCTGTCCGGTTCTAGTGCGGTCCGGTTCTAGTGCGGTCCGGTTCTAGTGCGGGTCCGGTTCTAGTGCGGACTAAAAAAAAAAAACGGGACCTGCAAAATTTACATTTCAAATTGCACCGCACAGAAATCGCATGTGATTTGTACAAGAAGGCGCTGCGGTTCCTCTGCGAATCAAATGCGATGTGTCGCACTGCATCAGCCTGAACCCGGGCTGTGACCTGTATCGGCCTCCTGTATCGGCCTCCTGTATCGGCCTCTCGCAGTCCCTGGAATAATTCATCATTTTAATTAATTAATAAAGCATTCTGAATAGGAATCTGTGCAGCAGGGTTGGAGTGCGAGCTCAAGAAGCAGCACAAGCCAATCAGTTTATGTGCTGACAAGGAGCATGCTGATAGGAGGAGAGAGCAGGGGGACAGAGAGATGAGCTCATGATTGCAGTTACAGGATGGGGTGACCTGGGCTTAGAGGAAGTGGGTTGGATGATGCTGGACATTAATACCGAGGACATCCAGTGGCAGGAAAACAGTACTGCAGAGAAAATCTCCGCATCGAATGTGATTTTGTTTGAATTGGGCTGTTCATCTTTATTTTGTCATTTTGCTGGAGTTCTGCTTTAAGGTGAACCTTTCCTTTGTTTGTTCACTTTCATACCCCAACCCCCAACCCCCGCCTGCCCCCCCCCCCCCCCAGACAAATGTTCATGACACCCTGAAAATAAAACAGATATCCATTGTTCTGTATATGAAGTTCAGTCACAAGGAATAGTGAACCCCAAATCTGAGCTTCAGGAACCCCAAAATATAATAGAGAAGACAAATCCTGATGGGGGGGGGGGCGCCTCTCACATCCCCCTCCATCCACCTCGGGGGTAGACAGGAATGACATGCCGGACTCCACCCACAATCCTGGGGGGGGATTAAAGTCTCATATGTTGGTTTTGTTATGAAAGAGGTTTCCTCTGTTTTATTAAAGTTGTGGGGTTTTGTTTTGTTTTTTTTTTTGGGGGGGGGGGTAACTTTTGGCCCATTTCACCATAGAGAGGATTTAAATCCCGGCTGATGACATTTTCTCTGCTAATCAAAAAATTTGTCACATTATTTCTTTTTTTAGAAAATGTTGTTTCCTCCTTTGTTCTGTGTCAGTGATCTCCTGCAACCACGTCCTACTAGCACAGAGGTCCTCATCCTTCCTGATGCCCCTTTAATACAGCCCCCCATGTTGTGGTGACCCCCCAACCAGAAAATTATTTACCAGTAATTATAATTCACGAAGTGTCATTTTACCTCCAATACTGCTGCTTTCAGCTTTACACATCGGAAATATGTGTTTTCTGATGGTCTTAGGAGACCCCTGTGAAAGGGTCATTCGACCCCCAGGTTGAGAATCACTGTACTAGCATCATGGGCCCCTGGGAGAAACCATGCACTGGGGCCCCGACCAGCCTGTCCCAATATACACCCCGACTCTCAAAGTATAAATAGTAGATACAATGAAACATATTTATTACAACGTTCAATAAAAACAGATTTTAAACAATAAGAAAACGTCAGAAATCAAAAAACTAGTCAACAGAAAGGGTCACAATATGGGGGCAGTCAGGAGGGCCACAATATGGGGGGAGTCAGGAGGGCCACAATATGGGGGGAGTCAGGAGGGCCACAATATGGGGGGAGTCAGGAGGGCACAGTACGGGGGGGGAGTCAGGAGGGCACAGTACGGGGGGGGAGTCAGGAGGGCACAGTACGGGGGGGGGGGAGTCAGGAGGGCACAGTACAAGGGGGGGTCAGGAGGGCACAGTACAGGGGGGGGGTCAGGAGGGCACAGTACAGGGGGGGGGTCAGGAGGGCACAGTACAGGGGGGAGTCAGGAGGGCACAGTACAGGGGGGAGTCAGGAGGGCGCAGTACGGGGGGGGAGTCAGGAGGGCGCAGTACGGGGGGGGGGTCAGGAGGGCGCAGTACGGGGGGGGGTCAGGAGGGCGCAGTACGGGGGGGAGTCAGGAGGGCGCAGTACGGGGGGGGGGGGTCAGGAGGGCACAGTACGGGGGGGGGGAGTCAGGGGGGGCAGCAGGGGGGGGGGGGGGTCAGGAGGGCACAGTACGGGGGGGGGAGTCAGGAGGGCACAGTACAGGGGGGGGGGAGTCAGGAGGGCACAGTACGGGTTCTGGGATGCTGCCTGGGCCATCCTGGGACAGCTTAGTAAAAAGCGTGACTGTCCTGGCAAATTTGGGACAATTATTATGTAATGCAATGTTATCATGGGGCCCCTATACATCTGGGGCCCCTGAGCAGTGCCCAGAGGTGCTCAGGCATTATGACAGCCCTGCTTCTTGCCTCCATACACAATAATTGCTCCATAGCATTTCTCAGGGAGGGGTTCCCTGATGGTGACAACAGTGGACCATGTCTGTGTAATCTTTGCTGAAATGTCTACTTTGTAAGGGGGTGACAACGCAGGAGCACAATTGGGAGATCAGGTCGGACGTTGTCACCCGATAACAGGAAGTGTCTGACCAAAGCATCTTCATGGCAGGATCACCGGGGGCTATTTTAAGGAAAGATGGCATTTTAAAGGCATAGTCTACTTTTCGGAGCACGTTTCATGTTATACTCATACTTGGGGTGTCACGGCTCCACCGCCAATTCCTCCATCTACAGAGTTCTGTGAATGGGAGGACTACAAGTCCCCTCCACCATCACATTATAAGAAGTGACAGGTCATGTTGGCACAAAGCAATGGTGTCACCCCTTTTGTAGTCCATTGTTGACCTCCTCCATCCTCTATACCTCCATACAGACCTGGGACTCAAATGCAAACAATGCATCAATGATGCGCTGAACACGGCTGCAATGCTCTGCAGACTATAATGCAAAACACACTGCTCACGTTGCGATGCTCTGCAGGCTTTAATGCAAAACATGCTGGTCTTGGTGGCAAGTGCACTAATTGCAGTTGCAATGCTCTGTAGGCTTCAGTGCAAAATGCATTATTTGTGGTTGCAATGCTCTGCAGGCTTCAATGCAAAAAACAAAAACATAGTAATCATGAAAAATAAAAAAGCGCACCGATCCCAGTTGTGATGCTCTGCAGGCTTCAATGCAATACATGCTGATCATGGGTTCAAAGCTCTGCAGTTTTCAGTGTAAAATGTACTAATCGCAGTTGCAATGTTCTGCAGGCTTCAATGCAAATGCACTGATCACACTTGCGATGCTCTGCAGGCTTCACTGAAAAACCCACTGGTTGCAAAGCCCTGCAGACTTCAACACAGAATGCACTGATCGTGGTTGCAATGCTCTGCAGGCTTCAATGCAAAATGCACTAATCACACTTGCAAAGCTCTGCAGGTTTCAATGAAAAAACTCACTGGTTGCAAAGCTCTGCAGATTTCACCACAAAACGCACTGATCATGGTTGCAATGCTCTGCAGGCTTCAATACAAAATTTCAAACAATGCACATTTCTGACATTTTTGCCGAAGGCGGACTGTGCCTTTAACTCTAGAGAAGCTGACCTTTGGACTGACATGAACGCAGCGAAGCTTCTCTGAGATTTGAGTGATTTTGGGGGTTTTCATGTCGTCAAGGACAAAGCGTGACCTGGAGGAAGGTCCCCGCGCGTTGCAGCGCGGTGGGCACCTAGATATGGCGGCGCTCCGCCCTGCACAGTCACTACAATGGATGCAGTAATCTTCCAGGAATGTCAGGCAGCTGGCAGCGGCTCGCAGTGCTCTCGGGGACGGGGAGGGGTGAGCAGCCGGTTCACACAGAAACTTTCCGAAGTTTCACCTTATAAGGGCAGAGCCGGGGAAGAGGAAGTCTCCGATTGGCCGTGGCCCCGGCCTCATTTTATTCCCATTTAAAAACAAAGTGCAGCATGGTGGCCCATCTAGCCGGGTCTCTGATTGGCCGTGGCCCCGGCGCATTTTATTTCCATTTAAAAACAAAAGTGCAGCATGGTGGCCCATCCGGCCGGGTCTTCGTTGGGTTTTATGGCCCCGGCCGCATTTTATTCCTATTTAAAAACAAAGTGCAGCATGGTGGCCCATCCGGCTGGGTCTCCGATTGGCCGTGGCCCCGGCCGCATTTTATTCCCATTTAAAAACAAAAGGGCAGCATGGTGGCCCCTCCGGCAGGGTCTTCGCTGGGTTTATGGCCCCGGCTACATTCACCCATTACCCTGCGCCGGGTCCCCAACAGTCGCAGGCCTTCCGATGAAAAGACTTCAATTTGCATTTATGTCTGATATCAGGGAGCTGGTGGGAGCGACGTTCTGCGCAGGGGGGGGGGGGGTGATAGGAAGTGACAGTTGATGTCCCCCATTACCACCCGCCTCCATACATTCTTACATAGGATCTATAGAGCACCGACAGTGTGCGCAGCGCTTTACATGGGAAGGTGGGAGGTCATGCGAGGACGCGGAACAAGACGCACATTCCTATTCATTGATATTTTGTTACAATTTTGTTCCTTTATTGTTACATTGTATTCAGGCAAGGCGGGCACTTCCTGCACTCTGCACGGGACAACATACATAGGGAGTAGGCGGGGTCTGTATTGGGAAGGAGACGTGTGATTGGAGGGAATTTGTTTATTACAGGTATTTATATAACGTCAACAATTTACATACAGACCGTCCAATCACATCAGCCCCTGCCCTCAAGAGCTTACAATCTAAAGCCCCAGTCTCACCTACAAAGGGCAATTTAAACAGGAACCAATGAACCCGGCCTCAGAGATTCTGCTCTCTCCTGGCTCTCATCCTACCTGTCACAACGCTCTTTCAGCGTTACCTATAATGCCACCACCTCCCTCTCACTCCCCCTCTCTGTTGGGGTCCCTCAAGGCTCTGTCCTCGGGCCCCTTCTCTTCTCCATCTACACCTCCTCCCTTGGCCAACTCATACACTCTCACGGCTTCAACTACCACCTCTATGCCGACGACACACAAATCTATCTCTCAACCCCCCACCTCACCCCCTCGGTCTCCACCCGAATCACACACCTGTTGAGCGACATATCAGACTGGATGTCGCTCCACTTCCTTAAACTGAACCTCTCCAAAACCGAGTTTCTTGTCTTCCCTCCAGCCCGGACACCACCCCCCATTGACTTCTCCATCACGTCCAACAACACCACCATCAATCCCGCCCCGCAGGCCAGAGTACTTGGTGTCATTTTGGACTCCAACCTATCCTTCCAGCCCCAAGTCCACTCTTTAACAAACTCGTGCAGACTCCACCTCCGCAACATCGCCAAAATCCGCACGTTCCTAACCCCAGAAACCACTAAACAGCTCATCCACTCCCTCATCATATCACAACTCGACTACTGCAACTCCCTCCTCACTGGCCTGCCTCGCCGCTGGCTATCCCCGCTTCAGTCCATCCTGAATACGGCTGCCAGACTCATTCACCTTTCCAACCGCTCCGTTTCCGCCACCCCCCTCTGCCAATCCCTCCACTGGCTTCCGATTGCGCAACGGATCAAATTCAAAATCCTAACGCTGACGTACAAAGCCGTCCACCATACTGCCCCGAACTACATCTCTGACCTAATATCCAAGTACCGCCCCAACACGCACACTCCGCTCCTCACAAGACCTCCTTCTCTCTAGTTCCCTGGTCTCCTCCTCCCATGCCCGCCTCCAGGACTTCTCCAGGGTGTCACCCATCCTCTGGAACTCCCTGCCCCCCAACCCATCAGATTATCACCTACTCTCCTCTCCTTTAGGCGCACCCTGAAAACCCATCTCTTCAGGGAAGCCTACCCCGCCCCCTGCTAACTTGCCGACCTCCTCCACTCTTCCTACCACTCCATCCCCCACAGCTATCTCCTCCTGTGCCACCATCCCCTCCCTCCTAGATTGTAAGCTTGAAAGAGCAGGGCCCTCGATACCCTCATGTTTTGCATTGTATTGGTATTGTTCTGTCACATGTTCTGTCCCCCTTTATAATGTACAGCGCTGAGCGAACTATTGGCGCTTTATAAATACTGTATAATAATAATAATAATAATAATGAACCTGCCAGCAAGTCTTTGTAGTGCGGGAGGACATGCAAACTCCATGCAGCTAGTCCTAGTTGGGGTTTGAACAGAGGACTCCAGTGCTGTAAGGCTGAAGTGCTAATCACTCCCCACCTGGAGCAGCCGTGCTCAGCAACCAATCAGCTGCTCTCTCCAGCTGGTTCAGTTAAGCGCTGAAAATGAAAGCTAAAGGCTGATTGGTTGCCGTGTAAAGCTGCTCCAGTTTTAGAACCCCTCCCCCTGAATCCCCCCCCCCTCCCCCCATACAAACACGTATGCGCCTGCTCACCGTCTGAGCTGCACATGCCAGGAGTGACATCATTCCCTGCCGGCCAATCAAGACGCCCAAAGACCCGGCACCTGGTAGAAGAGTTCGGTGGTGGCGATGGAGTGGTGGGAGGATCTGCAGTAGATTTACCCTCTTGCTGCCCATGCAGGGGGCGGGGGGGGCTGTAATGTCCATACGCGTTCATGGGCAGCCGAGACCAGGGGCGGACTGACCATTGGGGAACTCTGGCACTGCCCGAGGGCCCGGGGTCAGTAGGGGGCCCCATGAGATGTCCCTGGTACCTTTCATAGGCTTGTTTGGGTGTGATTTGAGTGTGGGCGAGGACACAGGGGCCCCATGATCCCCTATTGCCCAGGGGCCCCATGAGTTGTCAGTCCACCCCTGGCCGAGACCTCTGTGCACGCTCCCAGGATGGCGACTGAGCTATCAAAGACAGCTCCAAATCTCTAGGCGGGTTTCCTGACGGTGACAACAGTAAGCCCCGTCTTGGTAAGGTGTGCTGACACGCCCACTTGTAGCTGCAGCCTGGGTGACAACTCAGGAGCACAATTGGGAGACGGGGGGCTGGGTTGTCACCCGATAACAGGAAGTGGCTGAACGAGGATCTTTGTGGGTGGAATCTTGTAATGGAAGCTGCAGATTTAAGACTAGAGAATAGAAATGACGTAAATGTGTTGAGTGAGAGATCAGGGAAGAAGACAGTAGAACACTTTGAGGCCAATTTCGGCCAACCCCAAGGGCCCCTAAGGGCCGGGGTCAGGAGACTCTATAGAAATCCATAGACTGGCACAGAATAGGTTAATGGGGGAGGAGCCTGTTCACCCCTTTCTTTCACATTCCCAGAATCCCGCCCCACTAGGATTCCCTCTCCTGGGACCTCTGCCATGGCTGAACTGCCAATGGTCCTGTAAGGGCAGCTGGGGGACAGGAGGGGGAGGGGACAGGAGGAGATAGGAGGGGGAGGGGACAGGAGGAGATAGGAGGGGGAGGGGACAGGAGGGGGAGAGGTAATGCAGAACTCCAGGATAATAAATCTGTTGGTCAGGTGTGGATTTAGAAGGGGGCAACTGCCCTTGCGCCCCCCCTGACAGAAGGGCCCCCTCTCTATACAAATGATAGAAAACAATATAAAAATGTATTTTGGGAAGAAGTATTTGCTGGCCATCACCTGGAAAGGTTTTTTATTTTACTTTGGACGGGTAAATCATTTGTGACAACGAATTTTAGTAGCTCAGTCATCGCGTCTCGTGGCACGCAGTTTTTCGGCAAACCAGTTACGAAGTTCCTTATCGAAAGATCCTGCCAGAAGTAGCACTTCCTGCTTTAGGCTGACAACGCCGAGCCACCGCCCGGCAATTTGCAGCAGCGTTGTCAGACTCCCATACTTGGTTGGCCCTTGGATTTCCTATCCAAAAGACCTAATTAGCAGCCCAATGGCCAGTTGAAGGATTGCACGTGGCGGACTGACAACGTCGCTGATAATTGTGTGGCAGTGGATTAAGGTTGTCAGCCTGAAACAGGAAGTGCTGCTACTGGCAGGATCCCCAGGCAAGACACCTTGGCACTCTGTCTCACTGTATATTGGTTTCGAAGCTACTTTTGTGTGAATCTGTTACAAAGTTTCTTTTCTCCAGAACCTACCAGTAGCAGCACTTCCGGTTTCAGGCTGACAACACTAACCTTCTGCCTCACGATTAGCAGCAGCGTTGTCAGCCTGCCAGGTGCAGTCTATCCAGAAGAGCCAATTATCAGCCAACTAAAGGATTGCACGTGGCAGGCTGACAACACTATTGGTAATTGTGAGGCCATGGCTCAGCGTTGTCAGCCTACAACAGGAAGTGCTGCTACTGGCGGGATCTCCAAGTAAGAAAATTTGCAACAGAGTCACAAATCATGTGCTTAAGAAAACTCTATACAGCGAGACATGGTGCCGAAATCTCTTACCTGGGATCCTGCCAGTAGCAGCACTTCCTGTTGCAGACTGACAACACTGCTGCTACTTGTGAGGCAGTGGCTGAGCGTTGTCAGCCTACAACAGGAAGTGCTGCTACTGGCGGGATCCCAGGTAAGAGATTTCGGCACCATGTCTCGCTGTATAGAGTTTTCTTAAGCACATGATTTGTGACTCTGTTGCAAATTTTCTTACTTGGAGATCCCGCCAGTAGCAGCACTTCCTGTTGTAGGCTGACAACGCTGAGCCATGGCCTCGCTATTACCAATAGTGTTGTCAGCCTGCTATGTGCAAACCTTCAGTTGGCTACAGGGCTGCTATGTTGGTCCAACAGTCATCTGAAGGAGGGTACAGGCGGCTGACAACGCTGCTGCTGCGAATTGGAAGGCTGACGGGAACAGGAAGTGCTGCTACTGGCAGGATCTTCGGGTGAGAGACTGGAACAACAAAGAACTATTAGAAAAAACTAAAGGGGTGTAGAGCGAGGTGTGAGGGCGAGCACAGGGAGAGGACGAGGGCGAGCACAGGGAGAGGACGAGGGCAAGCACAGGGAGAGGACGAGGGCGAGCACAGGGAGAGGACGAAGGCGAGCACAGGGAGAGGACGAGGGCGAGCCAAAGGAGAGGACGAGGGCGAGCACAGGGAGAGGACGAGGGCGAGCACCGGGAGAGGACGAGGGCGAGCACAGGGGAGGAGGACGAGGGCGAGCACCGGGAGAGGGCGAGGGCGAGCCAAAGGAGAGGACGAGGGCGAGCCAAAAAGGAGAGGACGAGGGGGCGAGCACAGGGAGAGGACGAGGGCGAGCACAGGGAGAGGACGAGGGCGAGCACCGGGAGAGGACGAGGGCGAGCACAGGGAGAGGACGAGGGCGAGCACCGGGAGAGGGCGAGGGCGAGCACAGGGAGAGGACGAGGGCGAGCACACAGAGAGGACGAGGGCGAGCACACAGAGAGGACGAGGGCGAGCCAAAGGAGAGGATGAGGGCGAGCACAGGGAGAGGACGAGGGCGAGCACACGGAGAGGGACGAGGGCGAGCCAAAGGAGAGGACGAGGGCGAGCCAAAGGAGAGGACGAGGGCGAGCACAGGGAGAGGACGAGGGCGAGCACCGGGAGAGGACGAGGGCGAGCACAGGGAGAGGACGAGGGCGAGCACCGGGAGAGGGCGAGGGCGAGCCAAAGGAGAGGACGAGGGCGAGCCAAAGGAGAGGACGAGGGCGAGCACAGGGAGAGGACGAGGGCGAGCACCGGGAGAGGACGAGGGCGAGCACAGGGAGAGGACGAGGGCAAGCACCGGGAGAGGGCGAGGGCGAGCACAGGGAGAGGACGAGGGCGAGCACAGGGAGAGGACGAGGGCGAGCACAGGGAGAGGACGAGGGCGAGCCAAAGGAGAGGATGAGGGCGAGCACCGGGAGAGGACGAGGGCGAGCCAAAGGAGAGGACGAGGGTGAGCACAGGGAGAGGACGAGGACGAGGGCGAGCACCGGGAGAGGACGAGGGCGAGCACCGGGAGAGGACGAGGGCGAGCCAAAGGAGAGGACGAGGGCGAGCCAAAGGAGAGGACGAGGGCGAGCCAAAGGAGAGGACGAGGGCGAGCACAGGGAGAGGACGAGGGCGAGCACCGGGAGAGGACGAGGGCGAGCACAGGGAGAGGACGAGGGCGAGCACCGGGAGAGGGCGAGGGCGAGCCAAAGGAGAGGACGAGGGCGAGCACAGGGAGAGGACGAGGGCGAGCACCGGGAGAGGACGAGGGCGAGCACAGGGAGAGGACGAGGGCGAGCACAGGGAGAGGACGAGGGCGAGCACCGGGAGAGGGCGAGGGCGAGCACAGAGAGAGGACGAGGGCGAGCCAAAGGAGAGGACGAGGGCGAGCACCGGGAGAGGACGAGGGCGAGCACCGGGAGAGGACGAGGGCGAGCACAGGGAGAGGACGAGGGCGAGCACAGGGAGAGGACGAGGGCGAGCACAGGGAGAGGACGAGGGCGAGCCAAAGGAGAGGATGAGGGCGAGCACCGGGAGAGGACGAGGGCGAGCACAGGGAGAGGACGAGGGCGAGCCAAAGGAGAGGACGAGGGCGAGCCAAAGGAGAGGACGAGGGCGAGCACAGGGAGAGGACGAGGGTGAGCACACGGAGAGGACGAGGGCGAGCACCGGGAGAGGACGAGGGCGAGGGCACAGGGAGAGGACGAGGGCGAGCCAAAGGAGAGGACGAGGGCGAGCCAAAGGAGAGGACGAGGGTGAGCACAGGGAGAGGACGAGGACGAGGGCGAGCACCGGGAGAGGACGAGGGCGAGCACCGGGAGAGGACGAGGGGGCGAGCCAAAGGAGAGGACGAGGGCGAGCCAAAGGAGAGGATGAGGGCGAGCCAAAGGAGAGGACGAGGGCGAGCCAAAGGAGAGGACGAGGGCGAGCACCGGGAGAGGACGAGGGCGAGCACCGGGAGAGGACGAGGGCGAGCACAGGGAGAGGACGAGGGCGAGCACCGGGAGAGGGCGAGGGCGAGCCAAAGGAGAGGACGAGGGCGAGCACAGGGAGAGGACGAGGGCGAGCACAGGGAGAGGACGAGGGCGAGCACAGGGAGAGGACGAGGGCGAGCACCGGGAGAGGGCGAGGGCGAGCACAGAGAGAGGACGAGGGCGAGCCAAAGGAGAGGACGAGGGCGAGCACAGGGAGAGGACGAGGGCGAGCACCGGGAGAGGACGAGGGCGAGCACAGGGAGAGGACGAGGGCGAACACAGGGAGAGGACGAGGACGAGGGCGAGCACCCGGAGAGGACGAGGGCGGCCATACACTTCATAGGGAACCCTTCATATATAGCCTGCCGTGGTTGTCCTTCTGAAAATGCTCTCTGTCTGGCTGCCATGTAAATGCTCTCTGTCTGGCTGCCATGGAAATGCTCTCTGTCTGGCTGCCATGGAAATGCTGTATCTGGCTGCCATGGAAATGCTGTCTGTGTTGCTGCCATGGAAATGCTGTCTGTGTTGCTGCCATGGAAATGCTGTCTGTCTGGCTGCCATGGAAATGCTCTCTGTCTGGCTGCCACGGTCATCATGGATTCATCCGACCAGCAAATGATGTTGGACCTTCAGAGCCGCATATTCTGAGTTGTCACCACAACGAGACGAAGGAGGAATCATCACAGGAGGGGACACATCTTTCGGTGACAACACATTTCTCACTTTGCAGAGATCTCCTCTCACTTCCTGTTGGATCTGCAGTCCAGGAAGTGAAGAGAAATCTCCCCGATCCTGATGGAGGTTTAACCCTTCCCTGCTCCATCCAGAGTGAAGAGGAAAGTTTTGTCTTTACATTTACTTCCTGGAGGAGATGATCACTTCAGGGGCGCAGAGCAGTGTGCAGGACCTACCCGGGCCCCCATCACCCCCCCCTTTGGTTCGCCGCGGCGCGCTCTGGCTAGGTTTGCACCTTTGCGCGTAACGTCGCGGGTGGATACTCGGCTTCCTGTTTTG